CTGAGTTTTTTTAACATCGAGGTTGTGTGTTCGATGTTTTTATGTACTTGATATTTTTTAATTGAAAGAAAGTAGCATCATAACATAATTCTATTAAATATTTCTGATATAAATTGAATATTCTTCATATTATATTAAAAATAATATACATAAAAATAAACACAATTCTATGATAACAAAACTCTGTAATAATTTTCAGATTTTATTAATTTAATTAATTCGGACCAAAGTGACCAAAGGTGAAAATTGAATAAAATGGAGTTTTCATCAATAAAGAAATTTACATAATTTTTAAATTATCGAATTAATCTAAGATTTGTTAATTATCCTGATGTTTATATTTACTGTGTTTTATCAGATAAATCTCAAATAAAAATTAATAAACGAGACCACATTGAAATTAAACCCCCACGTGAACTTCAATGAATACTAATCCAGTTTTAAAAACGATGTTTTTTTTGTCGATATTTTAATTTTGAACATTATGTTTAGAAATGTCGATGTGTTGTTGTCGATGTCGCATTCTCATCAATGAGGACCAAATCACGCACCCGATAGGGCTTACCAGCAGACAATGAGCCTATTTGGTTGCAATGCTTTGGATCATTGACATTATTTGGACATTATCTATTTCATCTCGTAAATCGGATCCTATTCATTAAAAATTAATGTCAGAAGTAGCTTCAAATTTTGACGGTAGCCCTTTGACAAAGACGTTGAAAAATTGTTCAATCATTGCAAAAAATCTAATTCTTTAAATAATGTTATTAATTCTGTAAATAAAATTCTGATTTATTTAAAATAAGTTGTAGTAAGGAATATTGTTGAAAATAATTACAAACTTTGAAACAAAATGGAATTAACTTGGTAAACCTGACAATTTAATATTTTACATCACATTAACAAGAAGATTTATAAGAAACGCAAAAGGAGAGAAAGAACTTGTGTAACGTGGCAAAGAAGCACTTACTTTGAAATTCACCTTTGTTTCTATTTGATCGCTATCGTATCGGCTTTCTTACACCAAGAACCTGCAAGAAAAGGAAACTTGATTAATTTTTAAAGAGATTTTGTAAAAAACACTAAGAAGAAAATAAAGACAGGAAGATGCTGGTGTCCGTTCTGCAAGAGCAGCGGGCGCAGCAGTCAGTCTCCAGTGAAGTTGCGACATTGGTGTCGATCGATGGATCGATGGATCGACAACATCGATGATTTTATAAAATTATCAATGGGTCAATTTTAGAAGTCGGTGTCTATTTTTAATATCAATATTTTCTGTTCGATGTTTTTACAGGGTCGATATTTTTTAATGAAGAAAGTCCATTATAAGATAATTTAAAATATTTTTACATATCCGAATATTAAATATTCTCCAGACCAAAGTAATCAAGGGTAAAAAATAAATGAAATCAAGTTTTCTTCAATAAAGAAGTCTAAATTATTTTTGAATCATCGAATCAGATAATCCAAATTTTATTAATTATCCTGATGACGTTTACTTTGTTTGTCAGTTATAAAAATAATAATAATAAACGAAACTACATTGAAATTAAATACCCCTGAATAAACTTCATTGGCTACTAATCCATTTGAACACTGTTAAATAAAATCAATGGTTTTGGGCCGTTGTTTTATTCCCATCGGCGTTCTCATTGGATGCGATGCCGCATCCCTAGCCTCGTGGCGAAGGGCGGGGCGGGGAGGGGCGGGGCGCTGCGGAGCCGCTGCCGAAAAGCCCGAGCCCAGCGCGTTCCGCGCGTAGTGGGGCGCGCGCCCGGGCAGCACGTGAACGGCGGCGGCACGTGCGTCGAGGGCAACGCCCTCGGCCGATCAATACGCACCCGCCCCCGCAGCCATGCGCCCTACGAGCCGAGGCTCCAGACGGCCTCCCGAGCCATCTTACAGAGTACAAGCAAGCTACGTTTGGCGAATACAGGAGAACAGGGCTCTCCGACGTACGGCCAGCGAGCCACGTTTGGCCTGCAAAGCAATTTATACTGCCCCAGAAAAAAATCAAAATTTTAAATATTTTACACGCATATTCCTAGTATAGTCTCGAAATTATTGTACTGATGTTAAATTAACAATTTGTAAATGGTTCGCCCTCTCTTCCTTCTTAATTATTTGGCCTGCACTAAAACTCTACATTCCTCCTCCTGAAAACATATGCGTAAAGCAAAGCAATAGTTGCAAGACCAATCGCGAGCTATTTCCTGTGTACTGAACTGAAGGATTTGAGCAGTAACAAGATGCGTCACTCCAGCAACAGCAAGCATCCAGTAGTTCAAAAATAGTATCTCGATTTTGGTATAAGTATGTTTCATCATCTTACTACCCCAATCTCTTCGTAAATGGGAAGAAGACAAATTCAGTAACCAGAAGCCACACTTTCGCCAAAATAGAGATGAACATTCACGAATAGCGGAAGGCTTAATGAGGCTGGTGTGTCGTGTCTTATAATTGGCCGAAGCCTTTCAATTAAAACACGTAATCATGTGTTCAATTGAAACTTGTCAAAATTTGTACATATTAAATTGTAGTAATCAGCGATATGTACTGCGAAAGTAAGTCCCCGTATACTGTATTTCAATTCGAAAGCAATTTTTTAGGAATAAATTTAGCGGATATCAACGCAAGAATGATTCACTCGAACAAATTCCTGAAACCCATTCTCACAGCAAACAAACGGAAAATGAACTAAATGGGATCATTTGAATAGTCTGAAAGTGTTTTTTTTTTTTTAAGGTTAACGGCATATGGAAGGAAAAAACACACAAAGAAGACGGAACGCAAAATGTTAAGTCAATACTGGTATAAGCAGGAAATCCATAAGATGATTGGCACTCCTCCACCGCGTGGTTTCCTCGTCGTTCGTCGCCCCTCGACTCTCGAGCGATTGTTACACCCGTCCCCTGATCGGTCTCCCTGGTCAAACACAAGGCGGTCGCTTCCCTCTGGACAAACAAGGGCCACTTCCTCGCATGTTCCAGGACAGGGGCTCCATTTTGTCCCTGTCAAAGCGTCGAGCGGGAAAATTTAGAAGGTTCGCTCAGCTCGAAGACTCCGAAGTAACCGCCTCCTGCACCTTCGCGCGGAGAAATGAACGTTGACTCGCAAAAGACAGGTATTGAGGCCATAAGTACCCAAAACCAGCGCTTGATTTTCAAGTACCGTTTCCACAAAGGCAACGTGCACTGTCAGTAGTTAGCGACAAAAATCCCATTACAGAAAATTAAGATTTAAAGACTTTTTCTTTTCTTATTGGGGGTGTTGTAGTGTGTTGTGGTGTGGTGTGGTGAGGTGTGGTGTGGTGTGGTGTGGTGGTGGTGGTGGTGGTGGTGGTGGTGGTGTGTGTGTGTGTGGGTGTGTGTGTGTGTGTGTGCGCGCGTGCGTGCGTGCGTGCGTGCGTGCCCGCCCGCCCGCATGTTTCTCTATTGATGCAGTGTTTGAACTTGAACAACCTCGTCGTTTATTTCTCCGCCGTTATTCGAAAGCAATGGTGACGTTTGTTTTTCCTGACCCGAAAAGCCCTGGTTTAACGAGGGAAATCTGCTCCAACGGTTCACGTCCGACGCGAGAGATGCAATGGTTCCCGCTCCTGCGCCGTGGGATCTCTTCCGTGGAGTTCCTAGTACGAAACAGAGATAATGATTGTTTCCTAGAGAACACGTGTGGGCACGTGGTAAGCTGGAAGAGAAAGCCCATGGCCGGAAGAAACTAAGTGGGCGTGGAGTACGAAAAAGGTAGAATGAAAATTAGAAGTGGAAGTGAAAGCAGAAGAGGAAGAAAATGCATCGCTAGTCAGGCATCTTCAGCCGAGACGCCACAGTCGGCCTGGATAGTCGAGGTTGCTAAGGCAGAATATCCATAACTGCCTTGAGCCTGAAGGGTTGCGATTTCGAATACTGGCCGGGGCATGGATGTCAGTACTTGTAAGTGTGCGCACACAGTACACGAGTTCCTCTACAGTTATCCCCAAAGTTAAAATACAATGGTCTCTGTATGGCATGGTAGTTGAAAAGCGACCTTAAAAACGAATGGATCATACATTAACAAATAAAATGGAATATGAAGGAAGAAAAACGAGAAGAGGCAGAAAAGAAGAGAAGCGGCTTTGCTTCATCGACTCTTGAAAAATTTCCGAGATTTGAAAATATGAATTACAACGCTTTAGTACATCGTAACTTTTGAACCCATTCGCAGTGTGCCTTCACAATGTTTCTGCCTTGGAATGTTTTTAAGGTACTTTTAACAACAGTTAAGACTAGGATGCATGCGTTTGAGGATTCGCTGACAAAGGCTACTCAAGAGAGATGAAGGAGAGCACCCGGGAGAAGTGAGGTGATGTAAAAAGGTAGTAAACGAGAGAACAGGAAACCCGGATGGAAAAACGAGGCGGAACTGGTGCCGAGGCCGGGGACGGGGACGGGGGGGCGGGGGCGGGGACCGGGGACGGGGGGCGGGGCGGGGGCGCGGGCGCAGCGGACGCCGCGAAGCGTCCATAGCTTATGTTTAGCCGCCGCCGCCAGCCGTACCCGCATCGCGCGACGCGGAGCGGGCGGGGCGAGCGGGGAAGGAGGGGATGGGGTAGGTGAGAGAAAGAGGAGGGGCGGAGACACACGGGCCCCTTACGCGCATGCGGCGTGCAGCGTGGAGTGTGAAGCACTTCTGGATCAATTCACTGTGTATGCGTCATTTTTAGGAAGAAGATGCAATTTACGCCTTAATCCCCAAAAGCAAATCAACGGTCTATCTAGGCATTTACTCTCATAAATCATGGGATATAGATCGTAAACCCGACGGAGATGGGAGCCAGTGGCCGCCGAGATGTTTATTATAATTGTTAGAAACTAAAATAAAGCACAATTAATTGTTTGTAAGTCATGGTCGTTTTGCAGGAATGTATAATTTAGTTAAAGAAATTTTACTATTGTCTTTTTCCTGATTCAGTATTGTAACTAACGGTATACCTCGGTTTTTGCGAAAAAATATTTTGCTTTGTTATATTAAATCTTGATTTTAGATTATGTTCTGTTGATACTGGTTCAATCTATAACATAATTTCCGACATGTTATATTACGCACGTGTGTGCGGTTCAATTCAAACAGCTAGTCAAAAGTGATTGATTTATGGGACATCAAACACGCACCGTAAGTTAATCCAAATGGCTTGGGTCCATTCTACTTCGCCTTGAGTTAATAAAGACTAAACGTAAAAATGTCAAAACGATATCAAATATCCCAAGGCACGTAAGTCATCCACAGAAAATTGAACAGTCATAAGGAAAGAAAAACGAGCAAATATTTCAGTCGCCTTCTGCGCATGGACGTTAAAGCAATGGTTTCATCGGTTGAGACTTTCTGGTCCTGAGAATTATTATTCACCCGCTTAATGAGTAACAGAAGTTTGAGGCACTATTTTATTTATATTTTAAGCCCGATCTTGATCTTTTGGGCATCTAAAATAGATGGTAAATTATTAAAGTAGGCACTATGTTTTATTTATGCAGGAAATTAAGTTTTTACACATTCTGAAATGGTTTACTACATGTAAGTCAACATGTTATTTTCACAATTAGTACAAAATATTACCAAGATTGTCAATAAAGTCTATATTTGTTGTTCTTCCACCTAAAATCGTTTTAAAAGCAGAAATGAAGCTGGGCGATATAGGCGCAGTAAATCGATCTTCAATTTCAAAACCTACATGTTTGAGACAGTCTGATCAAAAATTAAATAAAATTGGCATCAACAGGAGTTTCGGCGCCTTTAGGTACCATTAAATGCTTTAGTGGGCCTGATTTTCACGGTATGTGAATGTGCAATTAGGCCCAGAGCAACCGACTAGGCATCTGGCATAGAACCCGGGGTGTGGCGCTGACCTGCGCAAATGAGTGCGTGGGAGGAGCAAGTGCGCTGCAAGCGGTTCGATCGCGGCCGTCGCTGTGCGTTTTATGGCGCCATAAAAGCGGCGAACAATAGACGCACGCGCCACGCTCCCCCCGCTCCCCCTCACCCGCTACGCCACTTG